AAGTTTATTAAAATTTAACAGCTCTTCAGTACATTATATATAAAGACATTGTTATTTCAGCTTTCGATACAGGGTAGCTGGTGAACATAGATATATTATTCAATTGGTCTGTGAAATGTTCCGCTTTATTAGGCCTAGACGTCACCGGGAGATCATTAGCCATAACGTCTAACATACAACCCATAGATTGGAGGGAAACGGTATGTAGAGCTTCTGTGATGCAAATAAAATACTATCGCCTACCGCTCTATATGACTATACTTTCTTATAAGACGCATAGAAGATTGTAGAAGGTGTCTGTGCCTGACATTTTGCCTACTTTTGGATCACTTCCGAATTCCTATAGAAACACATACAACACGAAAGTATACATATAATAGATTATTAACGCATATCATAAACGTTGCTGAATTTCTATGTCTCTCAGCCAGCTGGCTATATATTTTGATCTGGCTTGGAAGAAATATGCATTTATGCAAAAATTCAATTTTTTTAAGCTTAAAAAACCAAATCAAACAAGAAGTATAGATACATATGTATTTTTTGGCGGAAATCTAGTTAGCTATGGAAATTAAGCTATGACTAAGCTCTTATAAACTTGATCTAAAACGTTAATTTTAAGAATAATGTAAACTGATCTTAACGAATTTAGGGGGCAATTTGCTTAAATAGATCTATGCTTCTTAGGGCTTGTAATAAAAAATGACGTCAACTAAAGCCAGTTCGAATATAAAGGATAACTTGATATTTTCAGCAGGCCGCTGTTTACAACTCTGCGGGTCCTTCATAAGTTCCGCTAACTTACAAGGTCATCGGAGCAGCAGGTCTTGTTCCCAATTTAATTGCACGCAATATATACGAGCACAAAAACACGAGACAATAACCGTACATGCATGTTGCTGTTGTCGTGCATCGTTCTTGTTCTCTTTTATCCTTCATTCCGGATTGGCTCGAATCTTCTTCTAGTAACACTAGACTGACTTATTCTGCTTGATACCAGGATAATTTCAACAGAGGATTAAAAGCATTATAATGACCTTATTACTCAGAAATGTTATATAAAAGATCACGCTACCTTAAGTTTCCCACGACACACCGAAAATTGATTTTCTAATAATCATTGAAAAGGATCCACACTTCAATAGTCCAATGTGCGTTATATGTAGACTGTAATTACAGACCTTCCTAACCGATCTACTGCGTTATCGCCGTATAAACAACTGATGCAAGTAACTATATGTCGTAAATCGCAGTCGTAAATGTAATAAATAAAAAAGATAATGAAATGCGCTCCGAATTGGAAAAAAAACCCGGGTTTGGTCGAGAGCTGCCAAGTCCTTGCAGCACAGGCTTCAATAAATGGAAGAGGATGTACTTTTGATGTTAATGTATTTATGCATGTTCATTCTTAGATCCGTCTCCCCAACTGTGGTCTCATGATCTAAGTAAAACCCTTCACTTTGTATGGAATTTTGCTGCATCATGAATGCACAAAATTTACATGGGCTATATATATATATATATAATACTAAACCTTTATTTTAGATATATATATATATATATATATATATATATATATATTTTTTTATATCGAAAGCATCACTTCTCAATCTAGTTCCATTTCGAAAAGCTCGCGTTACGCACATAAAGCCTGAAGGGTTTATGAAATTACATTACGAATCCTAATGACCTATTTAAAATGTTTGCAAAATGATGTACCGGAAACAATTGCAGTTTATTACAGAAATCGAAATCCAAATAATATTGACTTTTAACGCGTTCTTTTATAAAGCGCCTTTTTTGTTTTATATGGTGGCAGCTCTTTTCATGCTTCTCTTTATGATCGAGGTATAGCCAAGGCCGTACGCTTCGTATGATTTTGCACGACAGTAGGGTTGATCACTTCACAGACAAAGTCCAACTAAGACACAGGCGTCCTATAGCCGTCGATCTTAAAAAACAAAAATATACCCCATTGGACTGGTAAACAAACATTAAAAGCAGCGACTTGCTGGTAATCGCAGCATCCTAGCAACTTGGCAGCATTCCGCCAACACTTAGTTGACCCGAAAGGGATCTTGCGAAATTTGTGCATCAGTTTGTCAAAGGGGTTCCCCAATGCAAGGACGTAAACGTGTCCAGTTAACGTTTGGACGCGTGTGCCTTACAGATTACGTGAATCATCTTAGCAAGTGGCCACAAGAGATTTTCAAATAAAATACAGAACCTAGCGAAAGTTCCTCGACAGACTACAAAAAAATATTGTATACATTTTGAAAGGACATTGACAATTTTTCTGGAAGCCCATTTACCTATATATGAAAAGTCTTTGCAAAAAGACTTAAGTCCGATTCGTTTTGTCCATATACACAGACATGTTCTTGACGGGATAACACATTTTTCTTCAAAAAACATAGGTTGTCTGTGTAAACAGTTGGCTGAAAACACAGCCAACCGGGTTAACGTTTTCTATTAAATAGGACCTAGACCCAGTAAATACTGCTGCGGCAGAAGCTAAAAAGGTAAAACTTGTCAAACTCGGCCTAAAATATTGTTTTACTTCACCAGCAGTTCTATCACAAAGTTCATTAGTTTTATTATTAAATCCTTATGTAAAAAAAGTAATTTTTCTATATTTTAACCGAAATAGACTTAGTTTCTTTCTCACAGAGACATAATAATAATAGATAAATTTTATTAGTCACTAAGTAAACCAAATTCAATTTTCCCATACCTATATAACCACACTGAAAAAGCTTATCTTCATTTTGTTATCGTAAAACCTGGCAACCATAGGATATGAGTACAGCAAAAAATTCCCCTTCCAGGTCGTTGTCTCTGCGTATTGTGCAGCGAGTCATACCGTTAAATATAGAGTCGTCAATATTACGCAGGCATATTGTTTGTCTTATACGGCCTGAGAAGGGCAAACCTTGAAGTCAATTTACCATCAAAGCATGATATAGCAACTTTATTTTACGTCCACGTTTTCAGTTTTAGACATAATAATAATAATAATATGAACAAGGTTAATGTGGACTGACATTTCTTGTTTTCTTTTTCGTTTGATCAGAAATGGCAGCTCATTTGACGTTTTGTATAAATACCAATTATGAAGTTGTAGTGCGGCAGCTAAAAGGCTCGTTAGCTATAGATGGATTTTTAAATGTCGTGACCTTCTCGCTAAGAAGTGATACTATTTTTGTATGGCCTTTCAATACCTATTCAATTTTTAAAAATTTGGAATTGGTTTTTGCAGAATAGGTCAGAGTTGAAAAGTAATGCCAGAGAAAAGGTGTCTACCTTCTATTTGAAATTTCTAAACTAAAGTTAGTTGTTCGAACCTAAAATTCTTGCAAAAAAAATTGAAATATACCAATTTATTGTACGTAGCTCATTTCGACGGTAAGGGCACTCCGTACAATTAGAACTGAACGTCTCTTCGCCCTGTTAAGGCAAAACGGTGGCTCATTTTGAATTTGTTATTTTTGAGGGAAATCCTATTCAACTGTTGAGAGCGTATCCGTCTTATGTATTTTACATACGACGTGATCAGTGTAAACACCTTCGATAGATACAGGCACATATATTGTCTTAGGTTAAATGTATGCATCCACGAAATATAAACGTGTGAAAAAAATGGCTGGTCATTGGTATTAATAATTTTGAACTGACTAATATGAATCCGTTATATTATATCCGTTATTTGAATGCTTTTTACGGCGAGCCTGGAAGTTCATGTTATGCTGTAATTGGATTTAAGGTAATGTTGCAGTTAGTAAGTTAGTCAATATGTGGTTCCGTTAACCGCGAAGCGTGCACGCCAATGTGCATCTACCTAGAAAGACACTGTTTCAGCGGCTGATAAGTTCATAACCAGGAGTTCGATGTCAGATTTCAAACCAGAGAAACGAGAGTTCGATGTTAACTGTTGAGGTTTCTAATTTTGCCAAATCGGAGTTGGAACGTTAAAAAAGCTATTTGTCGAGCTCCCAGTTTCTCTATTACGCGTCCTATAGTTCGACGATATGATAGTATTAATTATATATTTAAGACCCAAGAAATTCTCTAGATATTTCATCAAGGTGATAAAGGTGGGAGTTAGCTAAACGATATCCGCTAAGCATAACAACGTTCTTGGTAAACCGCTGAGCATACTACAGAAGCTTATTAGACCTTCCTTTTAGCCATTGGCGCTCTATAATTTCACTACGCTTAGTACTGGGGTGCGAGGCTAGCAGCAGTGATAATTAAAGATTCTCGCAACTTCTCTTTCAAGATATGTCATATTGTGCCATTGCTGTCCAGTACAATTATTTAGTTCTCTCCATCCACCATTCCAGTCATTATTCGTTCAACAGTGACCGGCTTGTTTTTGCTAACTGGCCTTCTCTCTATCTAGCACAGCTAGCTCCCCGTTCTCTTCTCACACCCTACCAAACAGCCATAGGCGATTTCGACAAGTTTCTCTGCGTATGTATTGGTGTTTGTTCGCACCGTCGAAATGTCTGTGACGTTTGTTCTCCACGTTTGCCTCGTCCCGTATCTCGCCGCGGCACCGTTCAGCACCGGTAAGATGCTGCGAGCGATTCGGTGCCGCTGCGACCTGCGACGCGCTATGCGTAAGCTCGTATGTGTTCTATTAGCGTTCTCCTGCCGAACGAAGAAGCTGGTTTGCGACTTGTTTCAAGATTGCTTGCTTAGCTGCTAAGATCGGAGCTGCGCCGATTGCTTGAAGATGGTGGGGTGTGCGGTCCCGTATAATGCAGATGGCAGGGCTGCGGAATTAGCGTTTGGTGCTGCTATTTCTTAGCTTCGGTGGGTATAGCAGCATAGGAATAGAGGGATGGACCAGTGTACACACAGGCCCACACACGGTCACATATGGATGGTTATCGGCCCAAAGGAAGGTGCCACCTCTCACCCGAAGTCCAAGATGGCGGCGACACAGCAACCCAACGGCAAGCCACCCTTCTCTCCGGTCGACTAGCGGAGAATGGATGGCTACAAATGTTTAGTCGAGTTTGCTTTCACTAGCATATTGAGCAAAGAAAGCCAGTGCTCTCGGTTATAATAACCCACCCCACAGCGCTCCGCCTCCCCCCATAAAAGCGCGCTCGATGCGGCAGACGTGCTGTTTCAACGTTTTTCTAAACCGTCCTTGCACCGGCGCGTACCGGCTACGAGCGAAGAGGTGTACGAGCCAAGAAGAGTTAAACAAGAGAACTTCGAGGGGCAAATAATAAAAAAAAAAAACAAGTTGAGAAAAACAAGTGAGAAAGAAAGGACTTTTTTCGAACAAAAGTTCCCTAAAACGACCTGTTATTAGAGTTCTGGTGACAATTGGCAATTGAAGTTTCAGGAACTTACTGCTTTGAAAAGTACATCACTTCTTAAGCCACTGTTACATTATTGTATACCGTCAGATAGCACCCCACGATACTGGAATAAACCACGAGCAATTTCAGCACGACTCGACTTTGGGGTCTTTTTGTGGTTTTTTAGCTTTGATTAGCAACGATTTAAATAGCGTGTGGGATCAGAGCATAGCCTCGTTCAGTACGGAATTATAATGAAGGAACTTTTGTTGATAGCTTTGCTGTTATCGACGGCTGTTCGCAGTACAAATGCGATCAATAATTGTACGGCGAGTTGTCCTAAAAGTCGAATGTCTCAACTTAACCCAAATTCACCTGAGGTCCGCAATGCCCATATCCAGGCAATTAAAATGAAGATTCTCAAACATCTGGGCAGCCATCATGCGACGAATATAGAAATGGACCCGAATCGATCTCGTGAAGCGCTCGCACTATTAGCCGGCGATACACTCGGAGCTGGGCAGAGTCTCCAAAATATGTTCACCGAAAGAAACGAGTACGAGGAGGAATCTAGAATGGTTGTTTTTGCCGACCAAGGTAAGTGACCGACGACCGTCACCCTAACTAGAATGGTTCTCTGAATAACTATGGTGGGTCCGTAAGATAGCCCACTTTTGCGAAAATGTTTACAGTTGGTGATCACCGCTTTGAACTAAATATGTCATACACCATTTGAGACAGCAATGGCTAGACTTTCCCGCCTTTGTAATTGAATTGCTTTCTACCATTTTATCTACAGCCGTATCCGTACCACGGCGTTAATGCCAGTGGAAGTCAGTCACTTGACAAACTTTTCTTTGTCTCTAAAATATTTAATCTGGAATTACTTTTGTTTACTGCGAAAACTTTAAAATATGATGTAAACCGTAATCTGTGCATGATGGTGTATTGCACATTTCACTTCGTTTGAGCCGCTTTAAATGATCTTAATGTGTAATTATATGGCATCCAGACTAAAGAACATATAGTTGAAGACCTGGCTTCACAGCGGTAGTTCTCTATGTCAATTCAACTTATTATTCAAGTTGAATATCACGAACGCGCGGCAAACGCTCCGATATGTATGACTATACATTTTAGCAACATGCATTTTAAAAAATTATGTTATATAAGTTATACGCCTCTCCTGAGTCGCAAACTTAACCCTGACATGGCCTCCTTTGTTAAGCTGAGATTTTCTATGGAGATTTTCGAAATCCATTAGCTTAACTGTTTTTGCTTTTTTTTTGTGTTAACGAATAGCGACTTTATATGATATTTTATAAACACTTTCCTAGATACCTATAGACCAGAATAACACCGCATACAATGATCGTTATTATTAAGTGATCTTTAGGTAGCTTCAAAGCTCTACGATACGCTCTAGCCACATTAGCGATATTCCATATGCGTGTTATATATTAGCAATATATGATGCGTCATTTTAATTCCCAAGAAACCAAGCAAATGTCCATATAATCCATCTTATAACGTAGCTTAACATACATATATGTACATGTCCGCATCTAAAATGTTAAAATTATGACCATCTAGGTTCATAAAAATGTATATTTTTACAATGCCTTAAACAGCAGTCGTGCGCTTTGTGAGATGCTGCTCGTTTTCCATTGCTGGGAAGCAGTATACGGTTGACACTGGTACCCAGCCTACCGCATATCAGCCCGTTGTTGCTGAACTTCATCAGCGCGAAAAACATTCTACCGATGCTCAGTATCACATCTGAAGTTATATCTTTGTTACGATCATACCGGTAACTAGAATGATTCCAGGATGGTCCTGTCAAATGGAATTCGTTCAAACAGACATGTAACTTCGTTTGGACGAGTGGCAGATATTAGGATTATATCGCACATAAAACCGCTCTCGGGCGTCTATGCGGCATCAATTCATTATTGCAAAATTACCAGGTAAACAGAGCACCACAAACGATACAAAGTATTAACGATCTGTCTCCCAAAAAATCATAACTCTGATAATTACATTTGCCTGTGTTTCGTATCATTTTTTCTAGGGCAGATATGTTAGATAATTTTTGGCCGCACCCCTTTATTTAGTTCGTGATCGACACCAAGGAAAGCACTCTCGTTTCAAATAGAATTGATCGGGTTCTGTCCGACCTAAAGTAAAGGCTAAAGAGTTCTCCAACAGATGATTATGTCCTATCGCTGAATCGTGTTGACTATAATAGCCAGTCATAGTGTCAAAACAGGCAGTTTGAAATCGTGCGTATTTCAATTGATCAGTCAACAGTTTCTCGCATCATGGAAAGAGGTGGAGCTCGAAATCCACCTAGATCAGCAAACGATCCTACTATCCTAATTACGAGTGAATATTTGAGTGAAATTTAAACTTAGTTGAAGTTTAGAGCACGAAACACGGCGGACGCCCGAGAAGGACTGTTAGGGTTAATTGTCTAAACCATCCTCGCCCACCTTTGTACGACGTGTGTCAGCTAAAAAACATTCAGTTTCTACCATATTTGAGAGCAATTATCAGACAGTCGTTAAGTTCTCGAGTTGTGGCAATGTCATAGGGCGATTTTATAAGCGGAGCTTTTGGCTTTATAAGTAGATAGCCCAGCCAATAATAAAGTTGTTCGATTCTCAAAACTTTTATGTAACTTAATCTAGGTCTAACGTAATTTATCTTACCCTGGTTTCTTTCATACAAAAACTTGGATTATCAAATACATATTTACATTATATTTTCAGGTGAACACTTCACAGAAATCAGACTCGATATAGATGCGACTAATCGATCATGTATAATCAGCTCCTGTTCTTGTTGAACCTTAATGGTGATGACGACCGGTGGTCCTTCCAAGAGTTATGCATAACATCGGCTCATCGACTTGGTCCGCATATTGGTTGAAAGTTTGCCAATTACGTTCCTTCTGGCATTTTTAATCGTCTCATCTGGATAGGCTTACTAAACATGATAGCCTTTCGCCCAATCAAGAACCATGGCTAGCGCCCTCTAGGACCCGTAGAGTTACGCCTATAGTTCTTTGAACCTACTATGTATATCATGTCATGATTTATATCTTGGCGGGCTATCCCAGGCGGCTACGAAGCAGTAAACTGCGTTTCTGGCAGCGGTGCATAATTTAAAATAGATAAATAGATCGTTCAATGGTTTCTATAACTAACGCTATAATCGGCCTTCGTGTTCCAACAGCTTTTGGTCCGTGAACTACCTCGTCGGTGAAACGCCGTCAAGGTTAAGTCACCTTCCGAAAAAGGCTTTCTGCGCTGAAGTGGGTCACCGCGGCCCAGGTCTACAAACGAATGCTTAGCATCGACTCCTTAGAACCAAGCTGCACGTCGAAAGTAAACAATCGCCTTTTAAACGCGTCGTTGCAGTAATCAAATTTAAATATACGTGTTCCTGGGATATGGAATCGTGCAGCACAAGAAACAACAGCATAGAGTGGATGGCTAACAAACTTATCTCCGTCAAAAAACAACTGGCTATTATTGTTAATGTATAAAAACCAGCTTCGTATCTCAGACCCTTGCTGCTGTTCATTACGGCTGGCTGATGATCCGATAGACACACGTGACATTTTGCCCTTCGCCCATTGAACCACCGAAAAAGGCAAACGTTACTAGCCGGCCGGTGTTCTGTTGCCGTGTCGCTTAAAGCGGTAAAGAACGGGATATCGATGAACGCCTGCGGTCACGATGGCGACTGCAGAAATAAGACACAGTAGCAACATGGTAACAACACGAGTAATTTGCCGAAAAGGGCCAAACCACAGTATCTGTTAGTGTTGGTCCGGTCTACTGTATTACCTCTTTGTCTTCTCCAGACCGTCATTGGTATAAGTATACGTCACTAACTAGATCTTCTGTGAGAGTCAGTTGCAAAACTATTGCTTCTTCATAGAGAATGCTGTCACCCACGTCGAGCTTTAGTGGACAGACTGTCGTCTTCACTAAAGCCTTTCTTGCTTCGATGAATATGTTCAACGAAACAACAACAAAGCAATTCGCTATTGACGGTCGTCTGCGTTTTTTGTCATATCATTCGGAAATGAATACCGCTTTGAAACCTGGTAGATGGGCTGGTTCGCTGATTGGCCGCACCATGAGTTCCCGAATCTGACGCAAAACAAATCACGAACAGAGAAACGCGAAGAAAACGAGGCGAAAAAGTGAGGAAAAGTACGATCGTTTCTTTCTTAGCAGCTTGCGATTCGCGCGACTGGCCTTTTCAAGACTGCTGTGAAGGAGCAGGTCGTCTTTTCTCTGGATTAGATAAATGCTCGGCCTGTCTTTTGACCTATGTTCAACCGGAAAGTAAGTTCCAGCTGAAGCCAAATGAAAGCTTTTTCACACCGATCGTATTCTTGATAATTGCAAGTCCTACACAATCGTTTCGCATCTCCATAGACATTATCGATATCAGATCATTAGCATCATCCATCTACACCTGTTCCGCCATCTCGAATCTGACAGGGTTGAGGGGGGAAGCGGGCTATTGGTCTTGTCGTATCGCTGCTACTGCTGCTGCTATGGCTAGCAACAGTATTGCGCATTAATGAAAGAAGTTTTCCATGGGAATATTGTTCGAAAGGCGTACTTGTACACGTCGTAACAGGAGAAAAAACAGTGGTCAGCAGACGCTTCTCTGCGGATACTGCCTATGTTCCTAGGGTTTCGTTTTCCGCTCCGTTCATTCAGATTCATAATGCCCACTAGGTAGACGTGTACTAGACAAATGAGTGGGGCCAAGAGAAAACAACGGATAAAAAGCCAGGCCAAGCCAGACGGCGTGCCGGCCGAAAGAGGTCGAAAAAGAAAAAATGCGAGAGGCAAAAGCTCCGTAGTGTTGCTATACTGAGAGTTTGAACAGGGAGATGGCAGACCGTATGGCGCCATCAATGACTTGAAGACAGATGTACTTGAAAGACGATTTAACACTTATTGAGCGCCAGTGAGTGGGAACTGTTTGTCGAAGAGAACTCAGTAAAAGACCTATTGTTAGCTGGACTGGGAATACATGCAGGGATAAAAAAAAATACGTTAACCATAAAGAAGAACAGGCGAATAATAGAGATGTTTATGAATGCATCCGCATCTATTTTTCCAGGCGTGTTTAGTACTTAGGCAGCGACAAGCAACACGTTAAGGGACGAGAAACAAAGCGGTGAACAAAAACTGGCATTACATATTCTCTGATCTAATAAGCGATAGGAGATGAGGTAGATGAACAAGCTAGTGCATGCTCTAAATAAATATGCTGACGCATGTTATGTCAGTAATATTATGCAGGTAATGTTGTAAGCTTTATTATAGTTAGAACCTAAGTTATTGATAGTGAGAGGTCGCGGCTCTTGCAATAATACAGGCGTAAAATAAACCTGGACCCTTTTTATACGCTTATGGATTTTCGACGTTCTTTCGAACGCAGATGTGCCCTTGTCATCAAGACTCTATTTGGGGACCGGTTTGAGGATCTTGAGCTCTTGGTTTTCATGGAGACGATGATTCTCGACTCCATGGTAATCGACGATAAGATAATCTAACAACGAG